TTAAAATATCTCTATATGCCTGGTACGGGGATTTGGGACGGGAGCAGGAGCGGCGTACAAGATTTACCTACCACATCTGTTATCTCCCTTAATAGAAATCTTCGTTGTTGAAGATAACAAATACTGAAACCCTGCGGTTATCGTTCTGTTTTCAGTTTGTCTTTAGCCTATATGCAGCTATATGTCGACATAACCTCGAAATGTCGCTGATCTTAAAATTAGTGAGTGTCCTTTCTGTAACTGTATTCGTTCCGTCCGTATGTCAACGAGAACATGCTGGTAAGTATATTATACATTAAATTGGAACTCGGTCTGCTTACAGCTGAGCTGGCTTACTGAAAGTCCGCTGGCTATTTTTACCCATCACGAAATCATTTTCTTCAAATAATAAGATGATGTATTTTTAACAGATGTCTTGAAATTATATCTTACACATTGTTGAAGCAAATAAGTTGTTATATTAAATATATTCATGTGAGATATTACTACCTTGTACAGTGTCTGGAAGGCATTAACTGATATACAAGATAAAAATCTGATTTATGAAATCTGATAAACTATGTAACATGCATCCTGCACGTACTGTGTATATAGACATCACGTTACAAATGCAAGCTGTGTATTAATCGCTATCACTTCATCCTTGATATCGACTGACGACTAATGTGGTATATTTTTCAGTCTAATAAATTCATGTTGTACAAGTACAGAAAACGAAACATATATTCCATATGGATGTTACATATACATATGTACCAAACAGTCTGTCATTAAATGAGATGTAAATAAAATGTATATAAGTTGAGAGTCAACAAAATAATGCTATAGTATTGCTTGTATTATTTGCAATTCCCTGTTGAGATGCATGTATATTGTGTGCTACTGAATTCATATCTGCCTACTTTCTGTTAATGAAGACTACCCCACTCATAATGTCTTGGTCATATCGCTATGACCCCTGGAAAACTCAGGACAAGTTCTTTCCTTGAGGGGGAGTAAGTCACCCTGGTGAAATACTAGTCGCTTCGTTCTTAACCATGGTCACTCGCGATCGGCTAGGGAGAATTTCTCTATAGCTCATTAGCTATAGGTAGATAGTAAGACTAGTAAGCCAGAGGTCCAAATCAGTGTCAGACATTTACATAACAGAACAACGCTGAACAATGTTAAGGTCACTTGACTATACAACACAATACATACCATAGGTTAGTATAGGCTACATCATATAAATTATATATTACATTGTATATCTACAAAGTACACTGGGTTATATATCTACATTACTGGTATGCATTTCATTTTCAGCTCAATTAATGTATTCAGGGATTTATAAAGGTACTTTTAAGGTCTGTGTAAAGGAACTGTTTCAAATTGAAAAAGTGTATAATTTTTCCAAACTTGCCCTTTTAAAATATTCCAATAGGAATATATATAAAAAAGTAATAAAGTAATTTGCACAATTTTCTCACAATCAGTTTTTTGGAGTTGTTACAATGATCATTGTAATTTCACAAAATAGTTCTTTTGTTGATAGATTTCCCAACTTTGATCCCAGGGTCCGTTTCCGAGAATCCCCTGATAAACCCCTGATTATTTACAATAAAAACCAAAATGTTATAATGAACATAATTCATAATGTAACACATGCTTGACCAAAAAGAATATGACAGCTAGGACACGCAGGCTAGGCCTGACTATATATAATGGATGTACATGCACAAACAGTTTTTTGGTTGCTTCCCTCTTTTCTTCTGTTTTCTTATGTGAAGCTTAAAGACAGAGAATTTGAATCAGTTTTGTAATGTGTTTTCTGTAATTTATAGCCATACGGCAGTTAGGCACATCATGAAGATCATTACAAAACAGTTATCACCCTGTTAAATCAAATAGATGCCTTTTGATTTCAGACATTCAACCATTTAAAATTGGCAGAAATAAGAACCTGATCAAAGAAGATCTTTCCAATAATTTAGACCCATTATCATTACTTTCATCTCAGATTATGGAAAATGCATGTTAAAGTGTTTTGATGTGCCACTACATCTATAAACTCATCTTTAGCTGAGGATTAGTCGGTAATCAAGTAATGAATCTGTCATCAATGATATAGAGCATGCTATCGAATTTGAAGTGTTTGATAAGCAACTGTTCATTTGATACTTAATCTTACAGTGACTTAATAGGAAACAATCAGTCTATCTGTCAATGCATCTCATATACTCTGTCATGTAGTAGTAGTGACATGTACATAATTATACAATTGCCGGATTTTGTTTGCGAGATCCTTTTGGGATAGTATTATATATTGAATAGGGATGGGTTGATCGAAAATTGGTCAGTTAGCTCTTTCCCATTTAGATTATCAATTACAAAATTCCATAATCGATATATTCAGTTCATATTTGAAATTGAAGTTTCAAATGTATACAATGTAATGTATGCATTGAAAGTAATTTGTTCTCATGTATTGTTTCTTTACAATGTGATTGACAACAAAAATTGCTTGAAATCCATTCATTGATAAAAAGAAAATAGTTGGGTATTGATCCTCAAAGAGGTTCTAACTGACTATTGATTATGATTTTAAACCGATTGCCTATCATTGATATTGAAATTGTGTCTTGTTCCACGATATAGTACAATGTTTTTGCCTTCAGTTCACTGAGTGAGTGTCACTTTTCCAGGATGTATCTCATATATAACCTGTCACATAGGATTGCTGAATTTTGTTTATGAGTAAAAAATGATGTACCTCTGGTGTTGATGGATTGTCATCAGTCACATACGGAAATCGGGTCTTGTGCTCCCAATATCTACAGAGTCATAGCCCTTTGTTCACAGCACATCATTTTGTGTGCTGCATACATGTACAGGTATCATATAATACATGTATTCTATTACCTACCATTGCCATGTTTTAACTTTTTACACAAGTACTTCTTTGGAATGGCAGTGTATTGTACTGAATACAGAGTTATAGCCCTTTGTTCATTTTTGATGGCAAAAATTGATGATTTGTTTTTGTATTGATTTTCTTTTTGTGTTTGCAGGTGTCTATGTTACGCTCTATCCACCCATGAATGTGTCTTTTGGTTACATTGGTGACAAGATGGCCTATGTATATTGGTTTCCACCTCCAGTCTACATTCATGTAAATTTCACCAACACACTGGGGGACCCAAACGAACCTGCACCTGGTAAGACGGACACAGACAGTGGAACAGATATAGACACTGATACAGCCTTGAACAAACAAAAGGATGTGTCTTACAGGTATAACAAGGACTCTGATAACAGCACAGACACTAGTGTTTCTAACGTCGTTGACACAAGTAACAATACCTTGTCAGCTAAGGTACATAACAGTTCTGTCGCAACTTTAGACTTGTCTAATGTAAACTCCAGCTCTAATCAGAGCGAAAATACAACGTCAGGGCCATCAGTAGCGTCTGTGATAACTGGCCCTGAACAGACCAACACTTCATCAGGCGATTATAAGGCGACCGAGCATCATCAAAACCTTACGATATGGACGCCATGGACTCCTAAATACATTAAGTATAATGACTCCCAGGAAAAACAACCCCTGGAGAAAACTGACATCGTCAGATTCCACGATGGACATCTACTTGGCTACATTGTGAAGTGGTGGCCAGACGAGACAAGTAAGTTTTTTTAAACTGTAACAATATGATTGTTATAAACAGTGTTCCCGGAAACCCCCAAATGAGGGATATTCACCAGCTCCAGAACAGTTGCTTGTACCCCAAGTTTTCAACAAATGTCCTATGTAACTAAGAACCTAGGGGAATAGAATCGTGAAAATGCATCACACATACACTAAAATCTAAAATCCAATGGGAACACTGTATAAAACCTCATAATCTTAGACAACACAGATTTTTTAATATTCCTCACTTTAGATCTAATTTATTTGGCAATAGTTTTTTTCCAGATGTCAT